GAGTCCTTGGTCACTGCATCAATAGGAAACCACCCAGTTAAGTTTTTGGTAGGCACCGTGGCAGACGATGCTGGTTACCCATAGAAAGATGCCAGTACAGGAAACCACAAGCGCAATTAAGGACAATCCCCTCACACCTAAGAGAACTGTTAGACTGGGCTCCCAGCAGGTGACTCACTCCTTCATGGTAGTTCCAGGCTGCCCTTTCCCCATTCTGGGCAGAGATCTTTGAAAAGTAGGCACCACCATCGCCTTTACTCCTCAGGAAGCAAACATTCCCTCTGCACCAGCCTTAGCTTGACTGCTCTTCTACAAAATACCATCTAGCTCAACAAATCCACACCCCAGGACCCTGCTCCAGGACTTGCCCCATCAGTAGCCTAAGGCATGTGCTGAGACAAATTCACCAGGCTTACCAACGCACCACCCACCATTCATGGTCACACCCATAGGCTTGACTACAGTCACACCCATAGGCTCTGGCCACATCCCACGAACCAAAGTCTAGACTGGGAACTGTTCCCAATAGTCAGAGGCTGTAGGCAACTAACATCCTCACACCACGTCAGTCGGCTTGGAATATGCATTGCCTGCCAGTTCATACACCAGGAACCCCAGGCCAGTTCAGCATTTCCGTGCGGTAAATGGACTAAAGTCACTCATCCGATGGTTCCAAATCCGTACGCTTTGCTCAGTCTCTCCTTCCAGACTACCAGGTCTTATAATACGATCCTGAGCCTTCAGGATGCTTTTTCTTTGCTGTTCTTCTGGTGCCAATAAGCCACCTCTTGGGGGCGAGAGATGACACACTTCTGTCTGTATGGGGTGGGGGGCTATGGCGATTGTTCCAACCAGACAACTAGTAATCCTGTGAATTTACAAGTTTAAAAAAAAAATTGTATTTTGCTTGGGTTGCTGGATCCACCTAAGCAGTAAGATTATATTCGACTGGGCACGATGATCGGGGACTCTTCACCAAGGAGAACAGACCGTATCAGATGCTGCTCTGGCCCTTTCACCAGATAGCCCAGTTAGATAATTGCTGGTTGCCTTCCCTCCTCCTCCTCCAGGTAAACAATGAAAGAAATGGAAAAATAGAAATGGCTAAGGGAACGAAGGGACCCCCGCTGTGCGGTGCTCCCTCCCAAGGGACTCAGGATTAGGCACAAGCCACACCCAAACCTTTATTAAAGCAGAGAAGAAAAGTTAAGTGGCTGCTTTCTGACTCTGGCAGAAAAACAGCAGGCAATGACCTTGCAGGTGTCGTTTTTAAGAGGAGAAGAAGGGGAGGCCTGTGTTAGACTGGATTAGGATACAGAGGTAAAGGAGCTTGGGGGGTGAGGGGGAAGGGAAGGGACGAGGACAAGGGAAGGACACAGGACTGCCTCTGGATAGAGGCGACGTAGAGGCCCATAGGCAAATGGCGGTTTATAAAGATAAAGGGGGAAACCCCGTGTTGGAATGAGGTGTTTAATTTCAATTGGGTATGTTAATTAGGGGAACCGAAGGGGACTTCTGATTGCTGGACTTCAGTACTTTAATAGATGGACCTTAGTAGTCAGCATCAGGAGGAGGAAGTGGCCAAATAAGGGAATAGACTTTGGTGGCTAGCTTTAGAAATGTAATCTAACGGTTTTTAGCAAGAAGGGTAGATTAGGGTGTGGGAGTCCGTGTGTGACTCAGTTTCCATCTGGAGTCCATTCTTATAAGTCATTTGAGTTCAAGCTTGCCTACTATGCTTTTTCCAATAACCCCGAGGGCTGTAAGAGACTTCTGATTTAGCCCATGAGAAAAGAACACTCTATCTCGTAGACAGTCTACTGCTGACGACAAACCTCGAGAACATCAAGAGAGAAAGTGAGGCTGCTCCCGAGCAGCAAGGCATGTAGGTTAGGAGGCTGCTCACTCAGGGACAGGAATGGTCTTGTGGTTAGATACTGATTGCCTGTCTGTGTCATGCTTTATTCTGCTTTTGTATACAAACGATTTCAGAAATAAACTCTGGCTGTTTGGCTGTTCCGGCATGACCGAACAGACCTCCCGATTCTATCCTGAATTATCTGTCTCTTTCCCTATCATCTGACATTTCCTCAGCCTTGACAATCCCCAATCCAGGAGCCCTAGCTGACTTTATAGGAGCCAGCTCCTACAGATGGCACCCAGCCGTGTGGCCCCTGGGAAGGGGGACTTTGATAAGGCCACCACACGTTAAAAGAGCACTCGGAAAAGTGGAGGTACGGTAACAAAAAAGTCAATTTTGGGAGTATTAAGAGCAGTCGCGCAGTGTAAATAAAAATAAATAGCAGTCACGTAGTATAAATAAAAAGGCTAACTGCACAGCGCGAAAAAAAACAAGTAAAAAGTAACTCGCGTATAAGCATAAAATAAGTAAGGAGTAGCTTGAGTATAAGTGTAAATTTTAATTATTGGCCAAGCAAACAGCAAACAGCTGTCTGTACATTTACTGAGAGACACTTTAAAGGTTCAGGGTACTAAGGAAGACAACAGCAATTGCTTCAGTTTTTGAAATGTGTAAAGATGTGTGGCCCTGGTTCCCTGCAGAAGGGATCGTGAGTCTAGAGATTTTAAAAGGTGTGAGTCAATGAGCACACTGTCTTGTCTCTGTTTTGACTCTTACTGTTCTGCCGTTTTGTTTTATATGTCCATGCCTTTGAAAAGTTTAAGTGGTACCGGTACCTGTTTGTCTGTCATTATTGTATGTTGACCTCCTTTGTTGTCCTGGTAATGAGGCAGGCAGCCTCTGCCTCTGTGTATTTTTATTGGATCAGTAACCAGGTCGTGAAAGAAAAACTTCTCAAAGGAGAGGCGTGGCAAGGGCCACCTCCCTCCATTGTTCTCCAGCCCACAGCCAGCCAGCAGCTCCTGCAGAGGGGCGGGGAGTGTGCACACTCAGGTGGGCAGAGAGGCTACCGCAGAGAGACAGGCTCAGGGGAACGGGGTGGCAGAGGCCTGACCGCTTGCAGCTGAAAAACTGCACGAATGTGGAACAGAGAATCTGAGATTGTGGCCGCAGAAGTTAACATTTTTTTTCCAGGAACATTAGCAGCCAAGGACACACTCTGTGCTCACCAATGCAGCTCCCCCTCTTTTCTTTCCTAAGCCAAGGTCATCTTCACTGTAATAACACTCAAGGTCTCTTCTGCTGGCCAACAGTTTCCCTTCTTAACCCTTCTCTGTCCTGAAAAAAAAATGTTGAATTTATACCAACCTGTGTACTTTGGGAAGCATTGATTTTACAGTAAAAGTTAAAGATGTATTATATTTGAGGAAAATTATGATTTTTCCCCACAGGAAAAGAAAACTATATGGGCCTTATTCATTTATATCCAGTGGGTTACAAATACTTATCATCTTTTAAGGAAACTGAGTGCAAATTGTTATTAAGATACAGAAAACTGCTGCTGGTCTCAAATGTTTTGTGCTATTACAGATTTTTTATGTTAATGCAAATTTAAGTTATTCTTAGTGTGATACATACATATATATGCATACATACATATGTGTGTAGGCTTTTGTTTGAAATGTATCTATGCAATGTTCTGGACTGTTGGAAGAACTCACGAGAGGAAACACGGATGGAGATTTGCATGTTGTCTGAAGGACAAGGGGACAAACAAGAGCCTGTAATGATACAGAAAAAGGAAATCTGTCTATGAATTCCTTATTCGTCTTAATACTACTGAGTTCTAAGGGAAACTATAAAAAATGTTGACGATTTAACCATGTTATGTTAATTCTGGTTGACTTTCTTCATGAATAAGGCTGGCGATTCTTCACTGCAGAATGGTTATGTTAATGATGGGATCATGTTCTTTAGAGGTGAAAGGAAGGCTGAGGTCCTAAACACAAGTCAGTTATTAATCTTCATACTGAAGCCCTCTGGGTTAAGGGGTCTATATATTGGTCTCCTTTGAAATGGCGAAGCTAAAGCTCTTAGCTATTCGGATTTCATAGAGAAGTCCACACATGTTTATTAAAAACTTCAATATCACATCTGTGGTCTGTAAATGAAAACTGCAGTCTAACTGGCCCCATAATAGTTAATAATAGGACAAAGTGCTTATATTATGAGTCCATATAAATTCTGAGGGTCTACAAAATATAAAGGCCTGAGAACATCAGTACATGTTATAAGGATCTGAAGGCATAAAAGCTTGGATTATATGGGTCTGAGAGGATATTCTGAAAAACAAAAATACAATTTATAAGAAACAATGGCTTAAGATGTATATAGAAGTTATTACAAGGTATCTTTCCCCTTCCATAATAGTATTATATCAGGTTAAAAGTTCAGAGTTTAACATTAATAGAGTTCTGACAAGCTAACAAAGTAATGGCTGCTTACTGCTCGGGTCACAAGCTCAAGATTCTAAATTTCTTTGGGTTGTCTTCTGAATACAGCCTTACATACTGCTTAACTCAAATCTGTAGTTTTTGCTAGGACTCAAGGATGTGGGCCTGCTCCTGCTGTTTTACAGATACCTCTCACCTGCTTTTCCTGCATTATCGACTTCAGTGCAGATTGATAATGCTAATATCCAAAACTTTTATGTATATTTGTAAAATGGAGATTCATACAAACTTCAGAAAATTGAATCAATATAACTTGGATCCACTTCTCACACGTTAAAAGGATTATGGTATTTTTTTTCCTCTCTCCTGGTCTTGGGACTCTGCCCCTTCCTTAATTATTGAGACTGTGGGTCTACAATTTTCAGATGAGCTCGTAAATTTCCATTCCTGTTCCCAGTCTGTATCTGTCTCACCAGGTTCCCACTTGGCTGACAAACGCGTCCAAGCATCAGTCACTGATAACAACCTGCTCCAAATGACAGAGTCCTGAGCTTGCGGAAACCTGATGTGGACCAATCCAGCCGATGCGATGGCGGTCTTTTCAGCTTGTCAGTGAATCAGATGCTGCTAAGTTCCCTCGCTGCCTTGGCCTAACATTCTAGCCTTCTAGGGCCCTGAGAACAACGTTCTAAGGTCAGCAGTGGGTAATTACAGAAGCGAATACGTCGTTCCTGTTCCCCCCTGGAATGTTAGATCAAAGGGGAACTTCTCTGTTAGCAATCATAGGGAACTCGGTCATCTTGATCATTCCTGTCTTGTTGCCATTAAACTAATGATGCTAAAATCCCAGTATCAGCCTCTGGAACAAACTCATCTCTAGGATTTGAGATGATGTCCCAAGGGCAAGGAATTTTGAAAGGGCACATGGGAGTCTTAAGGCTCAATTAAAAATACAATTAAAAATGGGGGAGTTGGGCTTATACCCACGGTCACCACATATATGTGTTTTTATCTTAAAATTTAAAAATTTTAAATGTGGATGTCTGTGAGCAATCTTCCATGAGTAGATTTTGGCACGAAAGCACCACCTCATGGTTTGCTCAAGTCTAATGGAAAGATCCATTTACGTGTTTATGAAAGGGCTCCAACAGTGTTTTGGTATGGGGAGAGGGCATGCTTGTGTTTATTCACAGGATGGAATTGAAGCTCGGATGATACAGAGCAGAGATATGCGATCCTGATGCTGCCGCCGATAATCCAGAAAAGCCGGAGTGAGACTGACTGGGCCTGTGTTCCTGATCCAGCTGTTGTACATCCTGCTGTCTGGGACAGAAAGAAGAGTGGAGTCACAATCAACGCCATACATCTCTTAGATCCATCTGCCACACAAGGATTCCTGCGTACTTGAAATTTTTCTCATGTTGGGTACGGTAAAGGAATTCCTGTATGTTTTGCAAAGAATATTGCTTTGGAGAGATGTTTTCGAGTGTTTCCAAAACTAATTATGGGACATGAAAACAAGGTACTTATTCTACAAAGTTATGGCTTCCTCGAGGTAATTGGGTAAATGATACTTTACTCCCTAAACGATTTCCTCCATGCATTTAGGATCTGAGAGAGTCTAACAGAACTTTGTTGTGGAGATGTTGTACTGGCATGATCCCATTAAAGTACAATATCACAAGAACATCACAGTACATTCTCGACTGGTCTGGGAATCAAGAAGATTATAATGACTCTTATCCTTTCCTTTGTCTACAGCAGAATCTTGGGACCCAGAACTGTGAGCTGGAATTTGGTATTCTAGTAGGAAATTTCCACAAACTTATATTCGGAAACTTGCTGCTGCCGTGGGAAAAGTGGCAGGACAATCCAGTTCTTCCAAACCTGTCCGCCCCCCTAAAAGGAACTGTCTTATGTGTGTGAAAATGCCTTTTTGTGGGAGAGATAAAAATCTCCATGAATGGTGTTGTGTTTAATGTATCATGCCCTGATTGTATTTTGACTAATTGTATTTCTCAAGTGGATGGTCATACCCGTGTATTGGTGCTAAAATAACCTTCTTTTGTAATGTTGCCAGTCCATGTAAACGATCCATGGTTTGATGGCAAAGGGTTACAGGTAACTGAAGAAAGCTTTAAGTAGACAGAGACATGTTGTTGGGTTAGTTATAGCGGGAATTTCAGCTCTTGCTGCTGTGTTTACTATTACTGAAGCTGCTTCAGTGACTTGGTCTCAGTCTATTCAAAATGCGGAGTTTGTTAATTACCTAAGAATGTTTCTATAACATTAGAGACACAAGAAGATACAGATGTGAAAATGGAACATAAATTGAATGCCTTGTATGATGTGGTACAGTCGTCGGGAGATGAGCACCCAAGTCTGAAAACCAGAGTCCAGTTGAAATGCTGTGCTAATTATGAATGGATTTGTGTTACATCTTCTGTATATCATGGAAGTGCTATCGGATGGCAAAGAGTTAAAGCACATCTATAGAGAATCTGGTGTGATTCTAATGAGTCCTTAGATTTGGCTAAATTACATGAAGAGATCATAGAAATGAAAAGGCTAAGTTAGATTTTGATGCAACAAAAACTGGAGCCATTTGAAAAGACTTTTGCATCGTGGTCAGCATTTGCTTCACTTCTGGGCAGCACTGCAGTTATTGCAGCTTGGGTTCCATTGGGCATAACTTGTCTACCTAGAGTGTTCAAGCTGATCTTGACCTCGCCGTGGAAAGTGGGCTCAGAACTTCTCGGAGTAAAACTCCACACACACACTTCCCTAAACTCATGATACCAAAGGCTGCCAGCCAAAGACAGGTAAGTTTTCTTTGCCTCCTTTCGATCTAAGCCAGAAACATGAATGAGGCAATTCATGTTCCCATGATGGGTAAGAATGGAGTGTAATAAGGAACGCCTAAGACAGACGTGGCCCTCTGAGGGACTCTGAGGGGGTCCTTAAATTAAAACAAAAAAAAAAGAGGGAATTGTGGGAGCCCATGTGTGACTCAGTTTCCATCTGGAGTTCATTCTGACTTATATGTCATTTGAGTACAAGCTTGCTTGCTCTGCTTTTTCCAGTGACCTTGAGGGCTGTGGGAGACTTCAGATTTAGCCCATAAGAAAAGAGCACTCTATTTAACAGAAAGTATACTGCTGATGACAAACCTCAGAAACACCAAAGGAGAAGTAAGGCTGCTCCCGAGTCAGTCAGGAGGCTGCTCACTCAGGAACAGGAATGGTCTTGTGGTTAGACACTGACTGACCACCTGTGCTGTGCTTTGTTCTGCTTTTGTATATAAGCAAGTTCAGAAATAAACTCTGGCTGTCTGGCTGTTCCGGCATGACCGAACAGACCTCCTGATTCTATCCTGTATTTTCTGTCTCTTTTTCTTTCATCTGACATTTCCTCATACTCAATGACCCCCCCCCCCCAATCCAGGAGCCCTAGCTGACTTTGTAGGAGCGAGCTCCTACATTGGGGGAGAAGGGCAAGGCCTGCCAGAGCCACATGCTTGAGTGGGCTAATGTCCCTTCAGGTAATACCATCCTGTCCCAACTTTATTTTACGACTGCATGGTTACTCCTTAAACTTTCACCACCAGCAACAACAACAGGGACCTCTACCTTGCAAATGCTTCAGGGACTCTCCACGACCCTAACCATGGGCCAAACATATTATGTAGTATCTGGAAAATACCACTGAGCCTTGCAAAGAAAGCAGACATTACTAGACAACTCTAAACCCCTCACCGGTGCCAGCATTGATAGAAGTATGTGTTTGCCTTTAAAACACTGTACCCCTGAGCCTGAGCACCAAGAGATGTCAGAGGCGTGATCCTACTCTTTCTTAGTCTGGCCATCAATAAAAATGGACTCAAATACTTTAATTGGCTTAACTGACATGGTTGTCAATAACCACCTCACATGAAATATTTCACTATCAATATTTTCCTTTGGACCTCGGCTCAACACAAGTCTAGCCACATTTGCTTGCTGGTGACTTGGACGGGCCCCTGCTGACTGTTTACGCTTCTCCACACCTCCTCCCATGTGCTCTGGCATGTCATGAATTCACATGGCGGTCTAGGTCACTCAGGCCTGCCAAAGCCTCTCACCTCATAAAAACCCCATCCCGCCAGGGGTGCTCAACAAATCCACTAAGCCTTCACACCCATCTCCAGGTCCCTGTTGGATCAACTTTCTCCTTAATTCCCCGGTGGTCATACTTCTGTCAGGGTCACGCACAGCTTCACGTGTGCCTCGTTCCCTCATTGGCACCTGTGGCTATATTGTTTTCAAGTCCCAAACACTTGAGGGGACTTCAGACAGAGATAACCAAGTGTTCCTAAAGGCTTTGGTAATTCAGTCCATCAGGCACTGGCTTCCCTCCTTGTGTCTCAGGCTGCACAGTCTTTGCCTGAAGGAGGGATGGGAAGTTACATTGCTCAGGTTTTCTGTCTCCACAGCAGACAGACTGGTCCCATCTGCTCCCAGGTCTCACAGCCTCACAAGCCAAGCTTCGACAGGCTCTTTCATTGCTTGTTTAAAAGTTTCCCCGATTCCAGAAGCTCAGGCACCAAACATTCCCTGATAACACTGTTTTTTTTATGCACGACCCTTATTGAAGCCCACATCTGCAAGCTGGATGGTAGATTTCCCCTTTGTTTTCTGCCTAATGTCGGGCTCTCAGGGCATCTTCTAACTGCTTTTACCATGTTCTCCTCCTCGCTCTCTGAATCTTCCCATGACTTCCAAGGTCTTAGATACCAGGAAAGACTTTTGAGCATAGATCTAACCTATGCTAGTTTCTTCCCTCGGGCTCCCCATCCCTGAGAAGCAGCAAACCAACACCACCTCCGCCGCATCCTCTTATTCCTCTAATGTATGTGCCAAATTAGAAGCTAATGTGGAGGATGCCATCACATCTCCCTTTCTCGTTCCAATTGCTCGTTAATACAAACAAGGTCCTGCTCAGCCACTATCTCGGCCTCAAATAAATTTCTAACTGCACACAACAGAGGCCAGGCAAACTCTGCTGTGGCTGCCAACAGCCTCCACCCCTGTAGGCTAATCTCAAAGGCTGCAAACTTTCCTCTTACCTTAAACTGTCTTCGGGGCATCGCCACATTCAAGCAGTAGACCCCACTCATCAAGTAAGCATGCCACACCACACCACGCAGACAAAGACTCCCACAACACTCCCAATCCTGATGGGCTCAGCCTTAGCTGCCTGTCTCACTACCCATAGAACCATGCAACTGCTCTTGTAGCACAGAGACATATTACACACCACACTGAAAGGACCACTCCAGGAAATTTATCCATGGATGCTCCCTGCTCAGCTTGCTCAACCTCAGTTGCTTGCCTTGCTACCCATGGCCACAACCATGCACTCACTCCTCCCCAGCTCATTACTGGTTCTTTTGTGTCCCTGTTCAGATGCCAATCATGTTGTGTGACAAAACATTTCTGGGACAGATGCTACACACACGTCTACTCACCCCAGATAGGGAGCCCACAACAGACCAAAGTATAGGTACCGCCACAGTCCAATTTAGAAAACCAATGAGTTTTATTGGGGTTGCTCACAGGACTATGGGTGAGGGATCATTTACAGGAGCAGAGAGGACTCGATGACAGCTGTATCACCAAAGCCCATCTCAGCACAGGCAACAGCTTCAAAAGCTGGAGCACCCTGCACAGCCTGCTGGCATCTCAACAGACTGAAGAGTTTCCTTTCTTAGTAACTCGGTTACTTAGTTACTCAGTTACTTCCAGGCATTTGTTCTGGTCTCAGAATCTTTGCAGCTTGGCTTGTTTACCCTGTCAGTGAATCTGGTCAGTTCCAGAAGCGTCCTAAAGCTATATTGAGTTGTTTGCCTTCCTGCTTAAGGCGCTTCCCTGAAGGATGCTCTTTCCTCTAGGAGGAAACTAACAACAAACCCTATTCCTCTACCACTAATCCTGACCCTGACCTTAATCCCGATCCAAACAGAACATTAACGCTTAACCTGTTCCTAATCCTAAAGCAAACCCTAACCCTAATTCCTAACCTTGACAGGTATCCTTACCCTAACCTTATTCTTCCTAAGGGTTCAGTGAGCCCCTTGGGAGAAGGGGGTCAGGAGTCGATCAAAATCAGACTGTTGGCCAGATTGTGGGTGGGAACTGATTGTCAGGGACAAGAAGTGTAGGCGGATTTTTCTGTCCCACCAGCCAGTTCTTAAATAACGACAGAGACTTATTAATAATTATAAATGCTTGGCCGATAGCTTAGACTTGTCTCCAGTCAGCTCTTATAACTTAAATTAACCCATTTCTCTTAATCTATGTGCTGTCTTGTGTACTTCATCCATGAACTTCCCATGTTGTTTTTTCCACATCTGGCTCACTACTCCTCAGACTCCTCCCTTCTTGTCAGCATTCCCTCTGCCCCGAAAGTCCTGCCTAGCTATCGGCCAATCAGCTTTTTATTAACAATGAGAGCAACAGATGTTCACAGTGTACAGAAGGATTACTCCACAGCAGAGAAGAGTCAAGATGAGCTGGGGGTAGCTTTGGACAATTCTCCATTCCATCTTACAAAGTATCCGATTTGGGCTAGTCAGCAGTGGTCATTGTCCGATGTATACTGAGGTCAGATTTGGTGAGTAACTGTGGTTGTTTTGAGGTCTCAAGCTGAACAAAGTTACCTGCCCATACATCTACCTCAGGCCTGTCCATGTTGCTATTGGGCTCTGCAGTACGGCACAGGCTCAGATACCAAACTAGCCCCATTGCTAAGTGCCAGCCAATTGACTGTTTTCATAACAGCATGGTCTCCATGGCAACCAAATATGCCTCAGAGAAGCAGAGAAGAAGATTGCATTGATATCCCACGGGAGATCACCAGCCAGCAGCACCACACGTGTGCACTGATATCCAGCATCATCCCACACCTCTGAACTCTTGGCTGACGAGGGAGGGGGACTTGACTGGGGAGGGGGAGGGAAAGGGGAGGCGGCAGTGGGGAAGAGACAGAAATCTTAAATAAATAAATAAATAAATAAATAAATAAATAAATAAATAAATTAAAAAAATAGGCATTTACTTTAAAATACCTAAATCATAAAGGCCCAATTTATGGGGCTGGGGAAATGAATGAATGGTTAAGAGTACTTGCTGCTCTTGCAGATTAACCCAGATTCACTTCCCAAGCTCATAACTATTTATATCTCCAGTTCCAATAAACCCAACACTCTCTTCTGGCCCCCTACCTGCCCTGACTCCACCCAGGGGAATGAGGTCTCCAATGACAAAGTGTCAAGCAGGAGGACGGGGGAGGGGGACGGAAGACAAATGCGATGGGTCAGGAGGTCTCGCATAAGCTGGTGACTTATGCCAAGCCAGTTTATTGAAAAGTACAGCATCTTTGTGGGGAGAAAATGGACCAAGATCATCTCAGAGCTAAATCTGACAATGTTGGCAAAGAGAACACAGGACACTTCAGACACAATTGCCATTGGGCCAACAACCATAGCCCTGCAGGGGAGAAAGCAGGGTTTCCAGGAACAGAACCCAACTCCTTAGAGGCCCCAGCTCTGACCTCAGACTGGACTTGACGCAGAACGAACGTTCCCTTTGTCCTTTCAGTGGGGCTTCTGAGAAAGTCTTGGGCTGGGCTGGCTCCCAACACTCCCCAACAACCACGTCTGCCTATGACCCTGACTATGTTTCAAGTGTATTTTTTTAAGAAAATTAGTGTTTTTACAAACTAAAATGACTGATAAAGGTATAAATCAAAATAAGTTCTTACGCCGTGGCTGGAATAACGACCATGTTCTGCTAACACAAATATTGCAAGGCTATTCTTACCTGCATCTAACACTGATGGCACTGTGATTTTTTTTATCCTTAAAAGCATCGCTCCCCCTGAACTTCAGCACAAGAATATTCCTGAGGTGCTATGCCACTCTTGTCACCAGTCAAAATAAAGGACTCTTTCTTACCTTCTTAATTGGCTTAATAAGCGTGATGGTATGTCACTTTCTCACAAGCATCATTTCATGGGCAGATCAGTCAGCCCTACGTACTCTCTTCATCTAAACCAGAAAAAAAAAATCCCAGTGAATAAAAACTATGCCCGCTATGAGGTAACTCTCAAGCCTGGATCCAGCTGTGCTGACGTATCCCCATCAGGATGAGTGTGAGGAGCTATCCTCAGCCGACTGCTTGGATGCTGGCCTCTGAGAACAAGATATAGGAGCAGATTATTTATGAGAATCCTATCCTAAGACCTGAGAAGCCTCCCCGGAAATAGCTTTCAAGGGCTGGAAGAGAGACAAGGAAGGGTGCAGGGAAGAGACCGTTGGGAAAGCAAAGTCAACTTCAGCGCTATTTATCAGTCACCTAGAAAGAAACCTAAGTCCTCCCCCTGCCCTTGCTCCTAGCCCTGTCCACCCTCGCCTTGTGACTCAGCTTCTAAGCTCAACTGTGACAAGGGCTAGGGCAGCTGGCAGAATGGCGGCCTGACTGCAAGCTCAAGACACCTAAGAGTGGACCAGGGTCTTAGCTAGGCTTTCTGTCATTATGATGAGACACCATGACCAAAAGAAACCCAGGGAGGAAAAGGTTCATTTGGCTTACACTTAAACTTTGTAGTCTATCACTGATGGAAGTCAGGACAGCAACTCAAACAGGGCAGGAGCCTGGAGGCAGGAGTTGATGCAGAGGCCATGGAGGGGCGCTGCTTACCGGCTTGTTCCCCCATGGCTTGCTCAGCCTGCTTTCTTATAGAAAGCCCAGGGACAACACCCCACACAATGGACTGGACCCTCCCCACCAATCACTAATTTAAAAAATGCCCTGCAGCCAGATCGTCTGGAAGCTTCCTCAGTAAAGGCTCCCTCCTTTCAGAAGACTCTAGCTGTGTCAAGTTGACAGAAAACTGTGCACACCCACTCAGCAGGTGACTAGTCTCCTCAGTCCCCTGCAGCTCCGCGCCATTGGCTTTACAGTCTTTCCCAGAGGTCACTGTGCTTGCGTGGCCAACTGGGTGCTCATCTCAGCCCAGCCTGGCTTCGGGGCTTTAGTGAGGCTATACTGCAGCCATCTGTGTATTCAAGAAGACCCAAATGAAGAAGCGCTTTGTGCTAGTGTGGCACACAGTACAGACACACTGGGAGCACATGAACACTGCATACACACATGCAACAAACACGAAGAAGTGCACAATAGGAAATCACATGCAGATGCACATTTAAACCACGAACTACACTCTAGAAAGTTCAGAGGAAAGGGGAGCTAGAAGTCATATGTTCTAAGGAACAAGTACAGGATTAAGTGTGAAGTGGGGTGTGTGTGTGTGTGTGTGTGTGTGTGTGTGTTTGTGTTAAATTGGGCAGATGAATTAGCGGCTCTTCCTTTAGCTTCTGGGAAATGTTTCAAAACAGGGCAGAACAGAGAGTTTTTATTTGCAAACACTATTAACCATTTCCTGTTCCAACCTCAGAAGTACCTTTGAAACAGCCTGTCACCTGGGCTGCTGGGCCCTGTGCCCCAGTGAGACCTCACTGTGGGCCACAGTGGGTTTGGGGTCTGGATTCTGGCCTGCCCCTCTACCTCCTGTTTCCCTTACACTTCTTTCAAAATGATCCTTCTGTTTTCTGAACTTTCTGTCCCTGTCCCCACCTAGATGGAAACTTCCCATTACCTCCAGAGTGTGGGGATCCCCTCTCCCTAACTTTCCACCTGTGCTGCCTTTGTGTGATAATCTTGAGGTCAACACCCTGGAAACTCACGCTTCTCTGCCCTGTCTAGAAGGAGGAGAGCCCCCACCGGGGCGGGGAGACTTCTGAGGGCTTGACACAGGGAAGCTCCGTTGGTGACCACCGAACCCAGTCTTGGGTTAATTCTTCCTACCTGGCTTACTGAGTATTTCCCCAGTGAGTCCAGTAAGAAACAGATGTGGATGCAGGCTCTCCAATTCATGCTACCATGACAACCTCACATCCAACGATCACACTCACGGAATGCTAACTGCTGGCCATACCCAGATCCACACAAGAATGTCCCTAGCAGCTCTCTCTGCCCATGATCCCCACCAACTGGGATCTTCCTACACCTGCCTCAGTTGGAAACAGATCGTGCCACCAACCCTGGCTCAGTACCCAAAGGGATTAGAGAGCTGACCTATGACTAGAGAGAATGATGCCCCATTAAAAACTGAAGCAACAGGCACCTGCTGTACCACACTGCACAGGTAGCCAGCACAGTGGGACAGCTTGTGTCTTGGAAATTATGTGTGTATTGGGAAGTAGTGTGTGTTGGAAATAAAGTGTATATTGGGACATAGCATATGTATCAGAGGAGAAAGTGAGTCTTGAGGATTGTGTGTCTATTGCGAGACAGTATATGTGTTTGAGACTGTGTGGATTATATCATGTATGTTGGGGATTGCATGTATATTAAGAGACAGCATTATGCTGGGAATCGCTTTACTGGGGAAGAGAGTGTGATAGCGATTTTATATGTATTGGAAGATAGCATGAGCCAGGTAGTGGTGGCTCATGCCTTCATCCCAGCACTCGAGAGGCAGAGGCAGGCAGATCTCTATGAGTTCGAGGCCAGCCTAGTCTACAGAGCTAGTTCCAGGACAGCCACGAAGACACAAAGAATTGGAATTGGGTGTGTACTGTAGGATAGTATTGTGTTCGAGATTGCATGTCATGGAACATAATGTGTGTGTTTGGAACTGGAAGTATCTTGGGGATTACATGTGTATTTGCAGATCACCGAGAACGGGGAGATCATATGTACTTTCTAGAATATGTGTGCTTGGGGCTAGCATGTGTATTTTGGACTGTGGTTCTGGGGAATAATGTGTATGTTGAAGATTGTGGGGTTTGTGGGGACGGCATGAGAAGGCATAAAAATAATGTGAGTTGGGGTATGACCCAGCGATCCCTCTCTAGGCCTGGTCCTAGGACCCCGCTGCTCCATACCCAACACTTCCCTTTCCCTCCTGCCCTCTCTCCCACTGCCTGCCTCCTTGCAAGCCCTGGGACCCACAAGATTCAGACCCCAGACCCTCTCAGGAAAACGTTTCCTCGTGAAGGGGGTTGAAGCGGCTATTGCCACAGGAAAACCAAGTAGGGCTACCTCAGGCCCAGCCCTGTCCCTCACCCCACTGCTAGGGAGGAGAAAGGAAAGAAGAGAGAAATAAGGCCTGGAGATAAAGGGGAGGAAGAAAGTGCAGCAGAATAGGAAGGGGTTTTCTCCCTTTTTATAATAAGATGTCCCACTATTTGCTGGCCTAGGATGTTGAGTCAGCCTCCGGGAATGGGATGAGAGCTTGCTGCTCAGACTCCTTCCTGTTCCTCTCCAGTCCTCACAAGCTACTCTACCCTGTCGAGCTCAAAGGCGCAGAGTCCAGCAGGAGTCTAGCTAGAACATCAGAACAGGACTGCGAGGGCTCTGTCCAGAACTCACCCTAGGCCTGTGGTCTTTTCCTAATTGCCCAGCCCACTTGAGGGACTTGCTAGCCTGAACATGCCTGGGAGCCACAAGGCTGTCAGGAGGCTCGGTAACAGCCAGGCCTGAGGAGGGGATCCCCCTCGCTTCTGCCCACAAGCCCCGTACTGAGACTGGGGGCGGCCAGTCTGTGCTTCACACTCTTTTTCCATCTCGGCGGCGCTGTACAAAGTAACGTTTCCTTTCCTTCCCCACTAAGCCGGGTGCCTCTGAACTAGGGTGACTGCCACAGCTGGCAGATGGTTTCCAGCCAGGCTGGTTATTTTAGGGTTGTGAGACCCACACATCTAATATCAGCAGTTTCGTTTTTCCTATTTCCCATTCACGGCGACAAAACACATGAGAGCCGAACTCTTAAGTCATCAGAGATGCCCACAAATGGCCAACCAGCCTGGGGCTATACGCACAGGTCTGCCTACCCCTTCCCTCCCCAGGGAGACAGGGACAGGACAGGTGTTGGGGGTCCTCTCACCACCTAGGGACTGAGAAAGGTTGACTGGAAAGGACCTAAAACCTGACCACCAGGTCAGGTGAAGAGGAAGACCGAGGGCAGCAGGACCAGCAATGCTAGGACCACTGTGGAAGCAGAGAAGAAAGTGACCTGAACTGGTGGGCCCAGTGTCTTGAAGGGGAAAAGAAACCATGAGAGAAAGCCAGACCAAACCCAGGGGTTTTCTGGGTTTGAGGATGTGGCTGGGGAGAGAGGTATCTTCTCGGGAGGGTATTAGGCCTTCTCTGACCCATCAGGCAGAGCAGGTGGCGGTGGCTTGGCTCTTGCTCCCCAAAAGTAAAGGACCAAGCCATAGCTCAGGGGACTCAAAGGTCACACTTGTCAGCCAAGATAGGTGAAGGTCCAGCTCACCCTCCCTGCAGCCCCGGAGTACACCCATCCTCCAAAGGGACAAGAGTAAAGTCCTCGTCTCAGGCTCCCTAAACCTCAGGAGCTAACAATCAGGATGTAAGGAATGGAAAGTACCAAAATTGCCCTCAATATGGGGCCTGAAGTGGAGAAGACCCATAGTGGGGAGGGAGGCAAAGGCATCTGGTCTTCTTTTCCCTCGCTCTGTTCCCCAACTCCCTCACCTCTCGCTAGCCGCCCCCACCTGCTCCTCCCAGGCATCTTTCCCTCCCCCTCCTCCCTCCCAGGCCCCTCCCCCACCCTTCTTTGCCTGTTCTCCCACCTCTGTGGAGGTGGAGGAAGAGGGGGCGGGAGCCAAGAACAGGTCTCCTCCCTCCAGCATAACCCAGGACCGTTTCCCTTCCGCTATAGACAACTCTGCCTGAGCAGCCGAGGAGGAGGAGATAGCGGGCCCGGCGTTTGAAGGAGGCGCAGCCAGGGGCTCTGGGCATGTGGGTCCGGCAGGTGCTTTGGCCTCTCACTTGGGCTGTGCTGCAGTTGAGCTGGCAAGCAGGGTGGCTTCTCGGTATGTGGCTCTGAGGGACGTGGGATCAGGGTTGGTGGCTGGGGCAGGGCTTGAAGAAACGGGCACCCAGAGTCCCTGTCGCTGGAGGAGAGGAACACCTGTGCCTCTTGGTTACCTAGATTGGCTCCTTTTTTTTCTTGCCTTCGGTGGGTTTTACAGGTGGAGGGCCTCCCAGGGCTCAGCATCTGCTTCCCAGTTTCTTCCAGGCAGACTGAACATTTGTCCAATCTCAGCTGATCCTTTATGTCCCTCCCTGTGGAGCAATGGTGGGTCTGGCCTTGGCCACTATGGCCCTGCGTCAGGATTCTGCCAGGCCCTGGTGTCCTTGGCCCTCCCCTGTGTTTTCTTATAGTTGGGAACATCCCTCCATGAGGCCCGCACTACACACTGGATAGATGACTGGCAGTTTCTCTCCAAGGGTTTATCAGCTGTATACTCCTCATGGGCACAGTTTCCTGTGTTGCCATCTCTGGAGGACTCTAGACCGCACATTCCTGGCCTTTTAGCATCCATGGTGGACTCAGGGGAGGGTGAGATCAAGGGGTACAGCGATCCTGGTCAAATTCCTCACAGAGAAAACTCGACCTCACTCCCCTAAACCCTATACCCTGTACCCTGTACCCTGTACGCTCAGGACTGAGCCCATCTTCACTGGGAACGCAGGGCTAAGGGAGATGTCACCTAGCTCCTGGGCCAGGGCTACTCCTGCAGAGCGTAGGACAGTGACCCAAGCTTCTACCCTGTGCTGGCTGCCCTAGGACATGTTTTACCTGTAATGATGTCCACTTGCTCGTATGAGGCCTCAGGCCCCTCCACCCCAGCCTCTTCACCATCTTGAGAACTGGATGGGACTGGGAACTGAGTGTGCTCATCACTTTAGGCTGCAGGCCAAGGCCGGTTGGGAGGCTGGGAATACTTTGCCTCCATGCTGGCATCTCTGGTTGGAGAGCCCTTGGGTTGCTATCAGGACTGATGAGCATACAGCTCTGAACATGGGAGAGGGTTCGAGGCCCTAGGGATGAAAGATGACCCTTGGGGGAACCTTGTCAGGAAACCCAGGGAACAAAGGGAGAAGGATCATGTGGGTCATCGGAGAGAAGGACCCGAGACCTGAAGGAGGCTATGACTCACTCTGGTGACATGGCACCCTGGGCATGTCCCCAAATGCAACTTCATGACAGAGTACGAAAAGAGGGGTGTGTTCTGCAGGCCTGCTCTAGATTGTCTGGCAAATGTCTTGGAGCCGGCGTGCCTCTCTTGCCATCTGAACAGCCTTGCGCCGAGCATGTCACACAGCCAGTGCCCTGCACTTGGCCGCAGTGGACCTTACGTCCAGGACACCTCTCCCTTCCGGATTGCCTCGCTGTCTTTATTTCAGGTGGTCCCGTAGACAACCCCTCTCATGCTTACTAGTTTTACACGTCTCCCAACCTCAACCATGACTGCCTAGTGACTAAAGTGAGGAAATTCAGGCTTGGAAATGGACCATCCTGTATCCAGACTAAAGACAAGCATAGCTGAGCATGCCCGTCAAAAGTTCAAAGCCAGCCTGGGTTGCCTTGGTGGCAGACCCTTTTAGAAGGAGCCGTAAGCTAGAAGTCCATAAAGTCGCTGGTGAGCATGGTGACCTTTGGTGAGCCTCTCAGTCTCTTTACCATATTCTCGCCTACATTTTCTTTCTTTTGTTCTTTCGTTTTTCCATTTTATTATTTTATCTTAGGTGTATGGGTGTTTTGCCCATATGTCTGCATCGCATGTGGGCCTCATGTCTGGGGAGGCACTGGAGTTACATGTGGTTGTGAGCTGCCATGTGGATGCTGGGAATTGAACCTGGGTCCTCTGGGAGAACAAACAGCCAGAGCTTTGAACCACTGGGGCATCTCTCCAGCCTCCCACCTACAATCTGGGGAAAACAGTTCCTGCCTCGTGAGATTTGCTCAGACCACTTACGAAAACTGCCAAACGCATCCTAAGGACACATTTCTTAAAGTCAGACTTGCTTTCTATAATCCATAATTTTGAAAAATACGTACATACATATATGTATATACACATCTGCATAAATAACCTATTAAGTCCATTCAGATTTGCTCCTTTGTGTACGTGTTCAGGGTTGACCTCTTGGGATTGGACAACCTGCCTGGGAATTTGTCTTTGGAGCAATTGATTCCCCCTCTCTCGTTAGCCATTAGCCTCCGATAGCTTTGCATATGGGAATAGGACCGTGTGGAATTTGCTCTGTCCACGTCTGTGTGGCAAGTGGTGTTGTCATCATGCTAATCCTTGTCTTCAGTCTGCCATGGTTGAGAGCTCAAGGGTGTACTGGCCCTGTAGTGTCCAGGGAACGCTCTGTCAACAGGCGACCTGGGCCTCCGGCTCCTACAAGTTTTCCATGCCGTCGTCTGCAATTTCCCCTGAGCCTTAGCGTCAGGGTTTGCGTTCCCGATCTATCAGTCGGCGCTGTGCGATCCACAGTCACTTGTTCTCCTGTGACTGTGTTGGGCATCTCTGTAATCACCGCCTTACGTTGCAAAAAGAAGCTACTTTGGGGAGGGAGTGGGAAGTTGATTTGGCATGTAAACTGAGAAAGGACAGTTTTTTTTAAAAAAAAAATTGAAAAAATGATAAAAAAGAAAATCTTCTTTGATGAGGGGTGCACTTATTTGTGTATATAAGGATAGATATTTAGAGAACAGTTATAGATAGATAGATAGATAGATAGATAGATAGATAGATAGATAGATAGATAGATAGATAGATATAGCTGTGTGTGTATGTGTTATATTGGTTTAGAATATTGACCCTTCTTGGGGCAATGTCTCATCAGATTGCCAAGGCCAGCATAAAACTCAAAATTGTCCGGCTCCAATCTCACCAGCACACACAATCTCACCTGGCTTATTGGTACTTCCTGCCTTTGTTGGCTTGACTGGACCACTGTCACCAAACCATAGCTAGTGGAGAGGGGGTTTAGGAAGCATTGTCTCAAGCTTGGGGTCTTAAATTGGAACTCAAGATAGGGGGATCCTCAGTCCCTGTGAGCCAGTTAAGTTCCAGGTCCTCCTCCTGCCTCTGAATTTTCCAGCAACCTTTGGATTCCTTGGTACCTAGACACCTCCCAGTCTTCTGCCTTTACCCTCCTGCATCAGTGTCCATAATCCCCTTTCTACCTAGACATCAGTCCCCCTAGCTGAGACCTACCCTCTCCAAAGTGACCTTATCTAATTAATCCTATAGCTAGCCCCTACTGCTAGCGAATTTCTATCCCTAGGTGCTGGTGTAAAGGCTCCAGTTTGTGTTTAGGAACAGTTTAGCCCCATTACCCATCTCCTCCCATCACTGTGAGGCTCTGCATCACTAAGCATCAACGGCAGATGTTAGGAAGCCTTTTACTTGCATCCCTGTCAGTCCCATGGAGACACATCCCCAACTAGATGCAGCTAGAGCTCTGACTAGCTCATCTTGCTTCTAACTGGCTCGCTTCTCCCTGGCTGGAACCCTTGTGGGTGACATGGTTTTGGCTGAGTGTCTGTAGGTTCTTTGCCTTTGGCTTGGTTAGCCTGTGCTCTTAGCCGCTTAGGCAAGAAATGTGGAGTGTCATCTGGGGCACCTCACATCTACTTGAAACTACAGCCCTGACCGTCTTTGGAAGTGCCCTTCTGGGGTCCTCACCCTGGGGACATTTCTCCAGGTGGACATAGAGGATACAATCCATTTGTAATGAATAAGGAGACCCCTGTCACCCCCCTGATCGTGCTTTCGTCATCCCAGATGAGTCTTGCCTAAATAAGGTACTTTATGCGTCTATGTGGTTATGATTTGGCCTCAGGCGCACAGGAGCCTGTGGTCTGCAGTGAGCTTGTCGTGTGGCCCTCCAGGTTCAGGCTGACTGAAAGGACTCACCCTTTCAGCCCCTCAGTGCTAACCAGGACGTGGCACTCACCCATCAACTCACCTCTGTCCATGAACCCAAGAAAAAGCTCAGGGAAACCGAGAAGACCCCTGACATCTCCGAATCACACCTTCTACGCAGAACCGCACAGGTTAAGGAGGCCAGGAAGACTCCCGGGGGGAGAAAGCCTAGCTTAGTCCCTGTTCTGCTGTTCTATTTATGAAGAACAAGGTTTAATCATCTCGGAGTTCTAGGAGCAGGGAGTCTGAGGTCAAGATGTGGTCTCCAGTGAGTCCTTCTTGCCAATGGGAGGAATACAGGGTCCCAAAGTGGTCCGGGGGATCCTAAGAAGGACGGGGCAAGTGCTCAGTCTCTCAGCCCAGCCTCTTCCTCCACAGCATATGACCCAACAGCCTGTGAGTGGGCACGCAGCCCCTCCCGAGCTCTCCCTTCGCAGTATCACTCGCATATGACTTGGGGGTTAGTGTTCTGGGGACAGGCACTCATGGAAGGCATGATTGTAGGGTGAAAACTCCCAAGTAAGTTGGACAGGGGTGGGGTTAAAGAGCAGAAGGCTAAGTTACCACCACTGGCACCCCCACACTTGGCCTCCGATGGCAGAACCCCCGGGACAGGTTGGACAGGGGAAAGGGGCCCTTTACATTATATTCTGGACTTCCCACCCCACTAGGTTGGAAGACAACGGGGTGAGTTCAACTAGGCTGGCTCTGGGTGCATCCCCAAAAGGTATCCCAGTCAGTTGTTCTAGGTTCCCAAATCCTGGTTAGAGACCCACAAGATGAGCGGCAAAGTGAGCTAAACATGAAAAAGGGCCAAATCTCCTCACTGGCATGCACACTGCCAAGTGAAGGACAGGATCATCTGTTAATTTTTACAAATAAAAAGAAGTGCGTGTGCGTGTGTGTATGTGTGTGTGTGAACATCGTTGTACATGCACATTTATGTGCATGCGTGTGAGCATATATGTGGAGACCAAAGGTAAATATTAGATATCTCCCTCTGTTTCTCTCCACCTTAATTTTTGAAACAGGAACTCTCTCTTACTGACTCAGTCAAATTGGCTCTCCAACATGCCTCAAGTGTCCTCCTGTCCCCGCCTTCTCAGCCCCAGGATTACAGGCAGGCACGGCTACACCGGAATTAGATAGGTACTAGAAATCAATCTCCTCACATTTGGTTGGCAGACGCGTTAGCAACTGAGCCAACACCACAGCCCTGTGACGCTTCTGGTGTGTGGATGTGGGTGTCCGTGGGTGCACGCACCTTTGCGTGCGTATGTGCCGGCCAGAGAAAGGTACCCTGCCTTGT